CAAGTCCACCTGAGCCACTCTAATCTTAGCAGCTTGGTCCGCCTGCTGGTTGTGTCGATGTTCATCAGTGGCCTGACTCTTGGGTACATGAACATCCACATGGCTCACCTTCACAACGAGGTTCTCCACACGGGCTGCAATGTCCTGCCATACTTCAGCAGCCCAGACGGTTTTACTCTTACGTTGCCAGTTGTTCTGCTTCCATTGCTGCAGCCATTTCCACAGGGTATTCGCCACTGCCCACGAGTCGGTGTAGAGGTAGAGCCTCGTCCACTTCCCACTCAGCAATGTCCAAAGCAAGCTGAATGGCTTTCACCTCTGCAAACTGGCTCGATTCACCCTGTCCCTCAGCAGCTTCAGTGACCCGTCGTGTGGGACTCCACACAGCAGCCTTCCATCGTCGATGTTTTCCCACAATACGACAAGACCCATCAGTGAACAGGGCATATCGCTTCTCCTCATCCGGCAGCTCGTTATATGGTGGCGCCTCCTTAGCATGTGTTACCTCCTGTTCTGGTGACATCCCGGAATCTTTGCTCTCCGGCCAGTTCGTAATCACCTCTAGTATCCCTGGGTGGCTGGGGTTCCCTGTGTGAGCCCATTGTGTTATCAGTGCAACCCATTTACTCCGTGTGGCATAGGTTGCATGATGTGTGGAGGAGGCCTTTCCTTTGAACATCCACCCCAGCACCGGCAGTCGGGGTGCCAGGAGGAGCTGTGTTTCAGTGCCGACCACTTCTGAGGCAGCCCGAACTCCTTCGTATGCTGCCAGTATCTCCTCCTCAGTTGGTGTGTAATTGGCTTCAGAGCCTTTGTATCCCCGGCTCCATAGGTCGGCCTCGGGTCTCCCCAGGTGCTCTCTGCCAGAGGCTCCAGGTAGGGCCATTCTCCCCGGCTGCGGTGTAGAGCATGTTCTTAACCTCCTGCCCTTCCCTGACTGGCCCGAGGCCTACTGCTTGGGCAATCTCTCGTTTAACCTGTTCAAAGGATTGTTGTTGCTCAGGGCCCCATTCAAAATCGTTCTTCTTACGGGTTAGAGAGGGCTCACAATCAGGCTGTAGTTCGTGATGTGCATCCTCCAGAACCCCACAGCGCCCAGGAAAGACTGAGTCTCCTTTTTAGAGGTTGGTGGGGCCATGGCTGTTATCTTGTTTATCACCTCCATTGGGATGTGGCAACACCATTCTTGCCATTTTATTCCTAGGAACTGAATTTCCCTTGCAGGCCCCTTGACGTTCTCTTGCTTAATGGCAAAGCTGGCCTTCAGGAGGATTTCAGTGATTTTCTTCCCTTTCTCAATGACTTCTTCAGCTGTGTCCCCCCATACAATGATGTCATCAATATACTGCAGGTGTTCTGGAGCCCCACCTTTCTCCAGTGCAGTATGGACCAGTCCATGGCAAATGGTGGAGCTGTGGTTCCACCCCTGGGGCAACTGATTCCAGGTGTACTAGATGCCTCTCCAAGTGAACGCAAACTGTGGCCTGCACTCTGGCGCTATCGGGATGGAGAAGAACGTGTTAGCAATGTCAATCGTGGCATACTACTTGGCTGCCTTCGACTCCAGTTCATACTGGAGCTCTAGCATGTCCGGCACTGCAGCACTCATTGCTGGCGTAACTTCATTCAGGCCACGGTAGTCCACAGTTAGCCTCCATTCACCATTAGGCTTTCTCATTGCCATATAGGACTGTTGAAGGGGGAGTGAGTTTTGCTGATCACCTTCTGGCTTTCTAGTTGACGGATCAGCTGATGGATGGGGACCAGGGAATCTCACTTGGTGTGGTACTGCCGCCGGTGCACTGTCCTGGTAGCAATTGGCACTCGCTGCTCCTCAACCTTAAGCCACCCCACCACTGAGGGATCCTCTGAGAGGCCAGGTAAGGTGGACAACTGTTCAACCTCCTCCAGGTCAGCTACACCAAAAGCCCACCGGTACCCTTTTGGGTCTTTGAAGTACCCTCTCCTGAGACAGTCTATGCCCAGGATGCACGGGGCATCTGGGCCAGTCACAACGGGGTGCTTATGCCAGTCCTTCCCAGTCAGGCTCACTTCAGCTTCCAGTAGGGTCAGCTGTTGTGATCCCCCTGTCACTCCAGAGATGCAGATGGATTCAACCCCACTGTAGCTCGATGGCATCAGGGTGCACTGTGCGCCAGTGTCCACCAAGCCTTATACTCTTGTGGGTCTGACGTGCCAGGCCATCGGATCCACACTGTCCAGTAAATCCGATTGTCCCTTTCCTCCACCTGGCTGGAGGCAGGGCCCCTCTAATCCTGCTCATCATCACTCACTTCTTGCAAGAATGATTTACTGGTCCCCTCAAGAGGGTCAGACATAACGTTCACCATTCTATTCTGTCTGGGGGATTTCTGACTGGACACGAGCTGTGCTCCTCTTGGAGGACTCCCCTTTTGTGATGGCCTTCCCTTTCAGCTGCTCTACTTGTGCAGCTAGGGCAGCAGTGGGCTGTCCATCCCACCTCCTCATGTTTTCTCCATGGTCGCGGAGGAAAAATCTCAGGGTGCCTCACGGTGTGTACCTTCTGCTGCCTTTCTCTTGGATGGGGAAATGTTTGCTTCTAATGGCTGAGACATTAGCCCGTGCAGGTGGAACGTAGGACGTGTCCTCTTCCATCTTCTGGACCCTCTGAGACAGTTCCTCCACAGCTGAGACCTAGGAATGCTGAGATGAGGGGAGATTTCCCTCATATTGCCGGAGCTTGCCAACCACTCCATCCACTGTTAGAGTGTGGGTGTCTGTCCACCAGGACACTATTGCCAGTGCTTTCGAGTGTGCTTCTAGTGTGCTCTTCAGGAACTTTTGCCACATCAGGTGTGTGCAAGGGGCCTGATCTGGGTCCATGGGTGACTGCTCATTATTCAGATCACCATAGACCATCTCAAACACAGCCAGTTCCCTGAGGCTCTGGATGACTTTCTCAATGCTGGTCCATTTGCCTAGCTGACATAGGATATCATCCTTGTAGGGGTACCTCTCTCTGACACTGAACAGGAGTCGCTTCCAAAGGCTGAGAGTTTGAGCCTGTTTTCCTATTTCCCTATCAATGCCAGCATCCTTGGCCAAAGATCCCAGCTGCCTGGCCTCTCTCCCCTCCATCTCAAAAGCACTGGCTCCATTGTCCCAGCATTGGAGCAGCCAGGGGCAAATCTGCTCACCTCCCAGGCAGCCAAAATCTCCTGCCTATCTCGCAGCTCAGTTGGGGACAGAGATCAGATGATCATCTCTGGCCCTTCTTCCTGTTCCCCTGATGGGCCTGGCTCATCCTCATCCCTCATTCTGTGAACTGACTTTCTGGTATATTTTGTTTTCTGTATCGGGGCAACTGATACCAGCACTGGCTGATACTCTGGCTCAGCTGCTGTGCTGGTGGAGGTGATTGAGACTGGCTCTGCCTGTGCCCCTGGTTCAGATACTGTTTCAGGTTCTGTAGCCTTTTCTCCCCCTTGAGGGCAGTGGGTAGTATTAAATAGGACACAGTAGGCATGGGCAAGCCCCCAACACATTGAAGCGATTTGTGTCTCCTGGGTTTTGCCAGCTTGGTAACACACCCTTTCTAAGCACTTCATCAGCTTTTCAGGGCTCTGCATTTGTTTGGGAGTGAAATTCCAATTTGGCATTGGAGGTGCCCACTGACTCAGGCCTTTGCCCATCTTTTCCCACACCCCTTGCCACTCACTGTTGTCTGACGGGCAGGTTTCTGGGCACTGTTATTGTTAGAGAAATACCACATGGCCAAAACTGAAATCGGGTAGACATTCAGAAGGCATTGTGCCACAATCACACCGGCCTGCAGGCTCCAAGATTAATTGAAACTCCCCAAAGCCGAGAGGATCTCTTCCCCTGGCTCACCCATAGAGGGAGTAAAACCCCTAACAAAGCCCAAGCGGCAAACAGGTACAGGCCCACCCCCACGCACAGCTATACAAAGGCAGCATAAGCAGTCGATAGCCCGTATAACAACATGAGACCCTTTATATATTTTCCACCGATAACAAACGCCACCACTGCGATCATACACTGGATATAAGGAGTAATCCAGCCCCACCACGCAAGCAAGTGGGCCAGCACTGCAAACATTTTCTTATCAAACAAATACAAACAGAAAAATTACACCCAACAGATTGCTCTATCACACTCTGGTCAGGGCCTGTCCCTTTTTATTATTTCAGCCCTTTGAGCCCCATGTTGGGCGCCAATAAAGGCTGTGTTGGTTTAAGCCCTGCCGGGACCCGAGAGCACGTTGCTATTGTCCCTCCCCCACCCTCAGCCGGTCAGGCTGGCAGTGAGGCACAAACCCCGGGTTAAAATGAGAAGAAATTTAATACAACAGTGGCAATTATAGCAACAATAAACAAGCAATAACAGTGAACAAGACAAAAGATATACAGAGAAATACCGCAAATGGTCATGGAACAGCTCCCTGCCACCAAAAAGCCAAAGAGAAAGTAAAATCAAAGTTTCCTGCCCCTGGACCTGACGTCAGCATGGTATGAATAACCCAGCTGGAGATCCCTTCCCCCTCTCTCTCTCTGCTGGGGAAACTTAACCCTATCCTAGTTGAACCAGGACACTTTCTGTATATGTGGAATGCTCTAAAATTTAGATCTGGGAGTAGAGCTCCCTCTTTCCCTGTTTGTTTATAACTGCTGCAGAGATGGTTATTATATAGGCAAAATTTTATTTCAGAAAACAGTAAATTAGTGTCTTTTCAAAGAAGTGTGTTAAGAATATGAGTATTTTTATTCTAGGAGAACTGCTTTTGTATTGAGCATTGAATGGTCAACTTGTTTTAAGTCATTCATGTGTTTATACTGTCATTATTAGCCTACTGACTGTTGTGGATTAAGCTTTTGATCTGGTTGTTTCTCTGGTGTCTAAAATAAGCTGCAGTGTGCAGTGTCACATGTCTGAGTCTGATACTGCTGGGAAAAAAGATTGCTGTAATGTGTAAAATACTCTTATATGTGTTTTGACAGATCGGCAAAATGAGGTATGTCAGTGTTCGTGACTTTAAAGGGAAAGTCTTAATTGATATTAGAGAATATTGGATGGATCAAGAAGGTGAAATGAAACCTGGCAGAAAAGGTATTGTTCTATTTCATGTTATTTTGTATTAAAACATTGTCTGTTGTTTGGAGAATTTTGTGTATCAGATTTTTATACTTTGTGGCTACATTATGTTTTTGGAGTAATATTTTTACTTTTTATATTTTTATTTTTGATGATAATTTTTAATGTTTTAATAAATAGTTGGTTTTATCTGTAGATTATAAACAAAAGCAAAATGGGTTTGTTGGCCCGAATCTGTTTTCTTAAATGGATCCTCCATGATATATGTAAGACACAGCATCAAATACAAGTAAACTCGGTATGAGAGTTGCAAGCATAACCATACTTCTTTTTTCCCCCCATTGATTAACTTAATGCAGTTTCTTTCTTCTATTACAACTCACTTGTGATAAGATGTTTCTTTCTTTAAAACAATTATGTTCTTCAATTTCTACCAAATTTTAGATTAAAATAATAAAAACATTTAATGTGACTAATTTGGGGAAAAACATGTCAGGATTCTAGTTGAGGTGGAAATACCTCGAGTGTTTAAGTCTTGGTACTGTGTTTCTAATCTGCAGCGTAGCATAAGCCATTGTACCTTTAATTGCCACTGCCATACCTGCTTTGTATGGCATGGCATGCCTTTGCTGAGCCAGTTTCAGAATTTTGATACCTGTATGATGAGGATGCAGGGATGGTTGCAGTAGTAGTGCTTTCCTTAATGTCACGTTGCTTCTCTTAGAAAAGCCTGCTTTTAATTAGTTTTCATATTGTGCCAAGGAAAGAGGTAAGCATGAAACATTCTGCCTGCAATCAGCATAAGGTTTGTTACATTCCTCTGGTCTGTCCAGGAGCAATTCAGTGAATAGACATATGGAAGGCTTGAAAAGCATTTTCAGCATTTCTTAAATAACTGTTGAGAATAGGTTTGTATGAACAGGTGTACTGGTACTGTACAGGAAAATTTCTTGGTTTGGATTTGTTGTTTCTACTTAACAAAAAAGATTCCTCTAACGTCTAAGGACTCTTAACCTGCTCTATTTTGACATGGAAGTCAAAAGTGTATGCAGTTTGAGATTTTATGTTTAGACTAAGTGACAAAAATTACATGATGTAGTTAGAAATATTGTCCATGTGGCAAAAGGATCTGAATTTTATTAAGATAAAGTTAATCATCTGATAGCGTATGTGAGTCTGTTCTGTTGATGCACTTAGGTTAGCTAGATAAGCAGCTCATGAAAAAACAGTATAAGCAGTTGAAATTGTATAATAAAAAAACTCCACAGTTTAAATTATTGTGTCACATTGTTCCAAACAGCAGGTCTGATCTGCGTGCAGTTCATCTGGTATGTGGTTCAGGAACATCTTGATGATGTTTGATCCCCTACATGGTTAGTGCACCTGACCTAACTGTTCCAAAAGAAACCTGCCCTCTAAAGACTGGTGGAAAACGGCTTAAGAGTAGCTCCATGCAGACTGGCTTGCTGCTCAAAGTTATGGTGGTGCTCAGTGATTGAAGAAGATAAAGGCAATGAGCCCCAAAAGGGGAATTTGAAGTTTCACCTGTTTTCAGGTGCTTCTCCACCAACAGGGAGAAAGCAGTGAAGGAAGTCTGATCATTGAGGAGTGAGAGTTGGGGGGTAAATAGTAAAAGAACCTGGCTGGAGAGTGTATGGTAGGTAGGCCTGTGAGTCTACTTGCATAAAGCTGGCATAGAGATTATAGGGAACGAATGAGGAGCACAAAGCACAATGTGCCTCGACTCAAGCTTGATGAAGTACAAATTTGGAACTGAGGAGGTGGGTTATAGGACACTAAATGATTATTGATTGAAAGTCACTAGAAACTAGAGTAAACTTGGAAGGAAAAAAATAACTTAATTGTTGGTTTGTGACTGCTAGGGAGTGCTTTAAGAAACAGGAGGAAGAAACCCCCAGAAATGTGGTACTTTAAAAGCACATAGAGGTTCAGACCACAGAGGTATGGCTTTTAGGAGTCAACAGGAATTCAAAGTATTGCCTGCTTCGCTCCCAAGGGCTTTTGTTCTGCCCTTTATCAAGGTCAACCTGTATTTCCCTCCTGTGCTTAGCTTAATACTTTTGAATGAATTTGTTACACTGTGCTCATTTTCTTTGTAATTTTAACTTGTCCAGAGATGAGCTGAAGTCTAAAGTTAAACCAGTGTTCTGAATGAGTAGTTTCAGTTTATAACTGAGATGATTGTTGAAGTAGCTCAGGCATTAATAGTTATGACATAGACTTTGTGTATGAAACCAGCCTTAATAATAATTATGCAAGGTCCTGCATCACAATTTTCTTTTTGTCTTAAGTGTTTATTTTTAATGCATTTCAGGTATTTCTTTAAATCCAGAACAGTGGAACCAGCTGAAGGAACAAATTTCTGATATTGACGATGCAGTAAGAAAACTGTAAAGACAGAGCCATACAGGAACTTCTATCATATTAGTTGTTTCAATAGGTCTTTTTACATTGGCTTTTGTTTTCTAAAATATTGTTTTCCAAGCTATTGTATATTTGGATTGCAAAACAATTTGTAAGATGAATACTTTTTTTATGTGCATTAAAAGTGTATTCTGAGTGAGGCTATTTGTGCATACTTTACTAAAAGGAAATGTATTGCTTTCACCTCGTGGTGTATAATGAACAAATCAAATAATATGTAAAGCATATTTGTTTATGGCCTTTTGATTGAAGGTGTTTAAGGCCACCTAATAGCTTTAGTCTTTGTTTCAGTTCAGTTAACAGTTAATATAAATTTGTTTTCTGAGGAGATTTATTAAAATGTCTGAGTTTAATTTTTTTGTTTTATTTCATACTCTTTGGTATTGCCCTGATAGCTTTCTGCTTTAAGACTTGATACAGTGAATACTTGGAATACATTTTTGTAGATAATTTTAAATACTGTATTTGCTAATTTACCCTGTTTATTCAGATGTAAACAGTCCTGGGTATATAGACTTTTTTGCATTACTTGCATGAAGTGTTATGCTAAACTGTAACACTTGAACACAAGCCACATGCAATTTCTTCCCATTTTTCTATAGTTTGCTTGAATTAGAAAATACAATTAGCCTTTTTTCTTTGACCCTAGATTTTTAGAATGTGATGCATAAACTTGTACAGTAATATACATATACCTCAGAGTAAGGTAGTATTTAAAAGCTCCAAAAGTGGTTATTAGGTAGGTACCCTTTTCAAGCTTTGCATTAAATTAATTCTTGAACACATACTAACTAGTTATTCTGTAGAAGAGTTAACCTGTCTTTGTAAGGCTTTTGTTCGTTTGGGAGTTTTGTGTAAATGATGCTAAAACTAGGTTGTAACACAGGTTAAACAGTCACAGGGTTAAAATTGCTTCAGCCAAAGTATCTGGCTATCATGCTTCTGTCCTGTCCACACTGCCTGCCCAAACCACTTAACTTGGCTTGCTTTGTGTGGCTTACATGTGTACAGCTATTTTATCTTTTGTACAGAGATACTTAGCGCTTACGGTGGAGCGCTGGTACATAGTGGATCATGACTCTGGCGAACTTCACTTGTCAAACATTGTACTATTCTGTTAAAAGCTTCTGTCCAGTGGAAGCTCTAGTAGACTAGATGCTGCCCTAGGTGAAGGGCTTCTTCGTAAGTGTCACAAACGATGGTATGAAGAAGGGAGCATGTAGTGTTTGAGTAGAACTTGGAGAGTTAAGGGGCACGCCAGTATGGAAGCTAAAGATGAAAGAACAAAGTTAGCTGACACATAATGACTACAGTGAAGAAATGTATGTTAGTGGATTTGGAGAAGAGTTCGTTTTCTGACATAATTCAGTTAATCAAAGGAAGAAAATGAAACGACTTCATGAAAATTGATGTTTCAGGAGTTTGTAGTGAAAGTACATCTTTATTGGTTCAGCTGTAATTATTCCATTTGGTGTTAAAATAGTTCTGAAATTTTCTGTGGATAGACAAATTTGTTTAATTTTGGAATATTTTAATTGTTTAGATTGCAGACATACATGGAAGTGCCATACACTGTTTATGTGCTGCAGAGTTTATAATTTGATACAAATGAAAGGGTGACTTCATCAAGTATAATGCATATGATTTAATTTAAATATTATGTCAGATACCTCCACCTGCTTTCTAACTTACCCATTGTTGACATAATACAGATAAAGTTAAGATCTGTTTTTTATATAGCTTAGGAAATCTTGAGTTTCTACAAAGTGCTTGAGGGTGAATAAAAGGGTGAAGAGATATGTGGTAGCAGATGCCTTTTTGGCCACTTTTTTTTTTTTTTTTTTTTTTTTTTTTTTTTTTTTTTTTTTTTGCGTGGCTCCTAAGGGCATGTAGGGATACTTGGACCAAACAGAATAAATATGAAATACCTGGTAAAATTTCATAGATGAATGAATAAAATAAATTGCTTCAAATCACTATTGACAGGTTGTAGGTGTTTTATATTTGTGGGGTGTGTGTGTGTGTGTGTGTGTGTGTATATATATATATACACACACATATGTGTGTGTGTGTATATATATATACATATATATATATGTGTGTATATATATATATATATATGATTTTTTTCCTTTAAATATGACATTTTGCAATTAGATTTCACCCATTTACCTGAAAGCTTTTATGTGGCTACTTTAAAGTGCATGATCACATTAGAGGGAACATTGTTCAAAGATTACTGTGGTAGTAGGTCATTGGATGGCAGTTGTGTATCAGAGTATAATATAATTGTGTTCAGAAAGGTGGAGATTTAAATAATTCACTATGGAGTAAGTGAAAGTTCTAATACGGTAATTAGCTTCTCATGTGGAAACTGATGGTAGAAGTGTTCAAAGAAATCAGTATTTATTAACCAAGATCTATTACTTCCTATTATAGATAACCCCCTTGCTGAATATGTGGTGATAGTAACTGGAACTGTTTATCCCACCTTACTTGATAAAACTTGGGGCAGTTTGATTTTACTTAACTTGTATGCTTAAAAATAGTTTTACATCTTCCAGTTATGTTTCTGGTTCTGATAATGATAAAATATCATATATTTTACCTGAGCCAACATTAACGTCTACATGATTGTCCTATGAAAAAGGTAACTAAATAAACCAGTCAGTTTCCCAAATGAACTCAGAATGGGATGAATTGAATTGTGAGGGAATTCATTGTACAACTCAGATGACTGTACTTGTTACTTGATAAAAAATTTACACATTCAATGTTATTTTTAAATAGGTGGTAGTGATTTGTCATGTAATTGTCTACAGCTGTAGTCTTTCCAATTTGAGAAGAAAATTTGGATTTTTTGAATAAAGATTATTTTCTTGGAAGACAAAATGTTAGTTAGGGTACATGTAGAAGTGTCCGTGGAAGAAAATCATGCATGTTTGAAAAGGCTGTGTAATATGAGATAAAAACACTGCTCTCTTTCCCATTGAAGTGGCAAAAGAAAGATGCATTTGATTCTTGAGATTCATGCAGGGCATATTAGCAATATGTTTTATAAATTAAACCTACTATGGAGCTTGGGAGGAAAAACACATCAGAGTTAGAACTGCCAAAGTACCTTACGTGTGATAAATCAAACTGTCATGTACGATGTTGCTCTTATGTAGAGATGTTCATATTGAAATGAAACAACTGCAGTACCATTTGATATTTCTGTTAAAGGAAATGCCTCAGTTATGTACCTATGTGATATGTTAACAAAAAATTGATGACTGTAATTCTGGTAACTCAAATGTCATATTGTTAACCATGTGGAATGTTTCATGTTTTGCTCTGGTGGTATCTGCTGCAGAGAGCCCACTGGAAATACGAGCCCTCCAACTGTAATTACATTAATGTTCAAATAAAAAATAGTTAAATGGCATATGTGTAATAACAATTTGAACACTTGAAAATAAATGAAGACTTCAGTTCATGCAGTGTTCTTTTTAATAGAAATTCAGCAGCACTAAAACTTCTTAAATTGTTATGGAAACTGCTGTTTGTTTCTTGCAACTACTGTAATTTGGAAATTTGAAAACAATCAGCCTATATTTGGTCTGTGTTTGCGAGTGGTGGCTTGACTAGCCCAGAAGGATAGAAGTTTTCCACCATGGTAGAAAAACGAGTGTCATGTAAATGTGGAGGCAGCAGATAAAAATACACTTTCAAACATGAAACAGAAGGAAAGCACCTGGTAAGTCACTACTGTTTAAGAAAATGGCTGATCATGCTTTCCAGTGGAGTTTTTCTTATCTGACGGTGAGTGTAATGATGGATTAACCATATATTATCATTGGTCAGTTAGGTCAGTATAGGCTTCTTTATCAAGGATATTTATTTTTCATGTGGTTGCTGTGACTGGTTTTTATGGAGTGGATTAACACTGTGGCCTTCAACCTAACATTTTTTTCTTCAAGTAATTTTGATTAGCAATTTATAGGCTCAGAAACAGATGTCTGACTCAAAGGGAAGAAATGGAGGAGGGTCATCATGTCACACTGTTTCTCATTCACTGCCATCCACTTAGAGATAGGATTCATCTTGGGCTGTATCCCTTCTGTGTGTGGAACAGCAATCTGATAGGCAATGTTTTTCCTGTTGAGTATCAAGTCTGTATGTTCCCTGCTGTCAATATTGTTATGTAAATATGTGAAGACCTCTGAAGATCTGAAATAAATGGTCCTGGGCTTAGTGATGGTTTATCAGGGAAGCTTTAAATCATGCTGTCTTGTGAGCACAGGGAGATGCCATTAGTCATAGAGGTAGTTAAAGGCTGAGAACTAGGTGACAGCTGTTCTGTGCTTCACTGCACAAAAATGTATAATTTTTTGTAAGATCTGCTTAATTTGGTTTTCATTGTACTTCCTTTTTGCTTTCATGAATCCATATACTTGTCATTGATGGGATGGTGAAAGATGATATGGTTAAGTAAGAAAAACATTTTATGCCTCCTTGACCAGCATGTCTAATGGACTACAGTTGGTTATCAGTTCACTTGGGTAGAATTCAATGAGAGAAAAACTGCTAAAGTAAAGAAAGGGTAAGTTGGGTTTTTTTACATAACTATTACTTGTGTGGTTACCTACAGAAGAACTGTTTCATACAGAATTATACATATATCCACAGCCTTTCCCTCAGTCAGTAAGCAGCTTTCCCTGTTGCAGAATAGTTTCTCCTTTTGAGGGAAAAAACTAAACCCAAAACTGTTAAAAAAACTTTAAGCTTGATCTTGAAACTGCTTCTGTTCAAACATGAATTCATCACATGTACCATTTTTTGTGCCGTATTTTTGGAAAAGTTACAGCAATGACTTACTGAAGAAATCTGCCTACTAGATAAATGCTATGTTTAGCCCCACAAAATTTTTAAAGCCAACTGAATCTGTACCAATATATAGGCTTAAAGTGGTTTTATTTCTGCTTTTGATACTTTGATGCATTCATCTTAGTTGAATAGGTAAATTTCTGTGAGGCTTTGAGAACTTTAGAGCTTTATACAAATGGAATTCACATCCTTGGCTGAAGGAAGAGACCTGTTAACTTCTTGTGTGGATGCTCGTGGACAAAGAGGCTGCTGTGTGCTTTGGGCAGTGAGTTTGATCTGCTTTAGGTCAGTATTGCCTCAAAGCCTTGGTATTAGCAGTCTGCTGTATTAATGAAGTGCACAATTAGAGTTTCGATGTATTTATTGAGTCAAATTTGGATGGACACTTAGCTTAATATTAAACATTCTATTTTGTGTGGCGTTGTCTTCAAGAGGATTGAGATTAGCACATAGTAAGGAAATGGATAATTCTGCAGTTAATACATCATTTAGATAATCAGTTCTATTTTGCATCTGGTTACATAGCTGCTGGAGTCATTGCTAATATACTTTCATAGGCATCATTGATCAATACTGCATTTAGGATGAGAGTCCTGGTGCAAGGTAAGGTAATACTGGTCTGTTGCTAAGATCTCTTTTTTTGTTACGGATCTTTTAAGTGCAACATGTATGGAAGGTGTAAAGAAGTGGGATAAAATAACTCGTATCACTGTTTTTGACATTAGGAGAATACAAGAATCTTCCTGTAAAACAGTTTGAGAACTTGCTGGTAAATCTGAACAGTGTATGTAATATTTCAGGGATGTGAGATTTTTTTTTTTTTTTCCTGGGTAAACCTCCAAAATTACTTCGTAATAACTGTTATATTTTCTCTAACAAATATTCAGACAAATCTCTATGTAAGTGGCTACTAAATGCAAGTTTTGTGCTGGCAACAATACTTAAGTAATAATTCAGTATAGGTTAGCGCAGCATATGTGTATACTGTTAAGTCTGTAAATGATACTGATGGCTGCCCCCAGTCTGGCTGAGCAAGCAGTTCTTTGGTTCAGGCATCACCAACAAGCAAGCCTGGCAGATAACCACCCTGTGGGGCAAACTGAGAACAGTGCGAGGCCACATCTTCTCAGGCACCAAGGACCCTCGGGTACATCTTATCAGGAGATAACGGCATCTTGTGAAAAGTCAGCTCAGAGAGTATTGGGTTATGATGGCAAATAGTTGTGAATAAAGCTTGTTTGAGTGCTCTGTGCTGCTGGCTGCCAGCAGTGCTGAGGCACTTGCAGCACTTAGAAATTAAACATCTGTTGGAGAGCTTTCCTTGGCTTCTTGACACATGAACCTTCAGTCAATACTTTCACTTTGGTGGGACAGGGATTTGAGTCCTTGTTTTCAAAGAAATGAGAGTTGAAATGAAAACTTTGTCTTAAATAGCACCCTCTGATTGGGTTAATGATGGGACTGGGGATATTAGAGAACAGTTGTTTTCAGCCCTCAGGAAAAATGTTCCTGTGTCAATTCCATTCAATGACTTAATTAGTCAAGTTTTAGTTTTGCAGTTACATTTTTGTTTTGGTATGACTACTTTGAGCAATATGTTAAGACAATGTTCATAGTTCAAGATATTTAGAATAACATATGTGTTTACTGTTGCTAAGAATTTTGTTTCAGCCTGTAGGAGAGTTGCCAGAGCAATGAGATGAAAACCAGCACAGAGTCACATGGGCCACATAGTGTCTCTTGCCTCAGGACTTCAGTATTTCAGACAACATTGAGCGTTTACTGCTGTAAAATATACAAAAATTTGTGAAGATAGATTACTACATATGGCCTTGACTTGTCCTCTGTTGAGGTGGGCTCCACTCATATCTGTTGTTCTGGTACTGAAATGTATTTTTTGTGACATGAAGTGTGAATTCATCACTCTACTACATCCAGATTTTCCCAAATGATCAGCATCTTGTGCTCCTACCTTTTGTAGTTCTCCCTAAACTATCTTTCACCCCCATCAGCTTCTCAGTGCCAGTGTGCATACCTTCTGGATAGTGGTAGCAGCAGCAATGGTACCTATGAAACCTTGCTCTCTGCTTTATTGCCCATTATCACCAGTGCTCCTTGGCATCTGGAAAAAAAAATAGCCTTCCTCCACCGAAGTCTGCTCTGAAACAAGGCAAGGTACTGTTGCAAAATACAGCAACAGTCTCATTTGAGCTCTTGGTGGAAAAAATAAAATGTAAGAGCAGTATGAAAGTGTGTCTCTAGTCCACTAACTTGTTTCCAGACAAACATGTGCCTCCTGTCACTACAAAGTGACACAAGTCTTTCCGACATGAGGAAGGCTGATTTGCTAAACTCTGGGTTGTCTCTTTACTCCTGCACCAGATAAAACGCAGGTTCACCCTATGCTCTTCTATCGTCAAATGCTCTTTTTACAACTAACATTTTAGGAAAATTTCACACCAGCTTTGCATAACTCTGAACAGGGAGTACCATCTCACAGTTTAAGTCAGCACTTGAACATCTACAAAGCTTTCCAGTCTCATCTGCAAGGGCCTGATATTTATGTTATACTGAAAGACTTAAATGTGCTGTGTAAGCAATGGATCTATTCTTGCTTTTTAATACATCAGGAGGCAAATGCAGTGTGGGAGGGGTATGGGCCGTGATGTTCACTTGTTGGACATGTGTATATTTAGTTTTTTCCTGTTTTCTGGCAGTTAAAGTGAGCAGAGCTGCAGTCTGAGGTCAAAATAAGATCCACACAAATGTCTTCGCAGAATTTTCTGATGAAGATGTTCATTCTGCTATAGCTTTTTTTGATTTGTAGCTTATAGGCGTCTCAACAAAAAGCTCATAAGACAGGACAAGACATTGTTAATCTTTGCCCTGGCCAGGTTTCAGTCCCCTTTTTGGTTATTTTTGGGGTCTCTCAAGGTCTGGGTTCTTTTTCTTGTTGCGTTCTCTTTGTATATGAGTCACTTAAGACACTCCAACCCAGAAAGTCTCCTCCCTGCTCGGACCAGGAGCAGCAGTGCTCTGGTGAAGAGCCAGCCAGCAGCCATGCACTGCGAGGGGGCCTGTTGCTGACAGTGAGGGGTTATTGGGGTAAGGTTAGTATTCAGTGAGGGGTTATTGGGGTAAGGTTAGTATTCAGTGTGTTTCACTCCAGCTCATCAAATCTGGCAATTTTCAATCACCTGATATTTCTGGGAAAGTCTGTCCTCTTCACCGCATCAGTTTTTAGTCATCTGACATTTCTTTTATCCTATGGTAATTTCCATCTACAAAAGGAAATAATAGTATTTTCTTCCTCTCCTCCTCCCCCCCCCCCC